CAGATTTCCTGACTGTGGTTTCATTCCTGATTTACAGCAATATTTGTCCAAAGATCTTGCTCTCACTTAAAAATGGAAGGAAAAGAAATGATATAGGGTCCTGCACTGGGATTTAAGGTAACATCACAACTCCCTCTGCACCCAGATCAGCTCTGGATGCTGCTCTTCATTTTACTGGAACCAGGACAGGATTATTAAACTCATATTTCCTGGATTTGTTTGCTTCATTTCAGTCCTGGAAACCAAAACTATTTAAATATGTAAGCCTAATGACCCCAAATGCAAAGTATTAAAAATTATATTTAACAATCTAGGCATAAACAGTGCCTGTGGGCCTCATCCTGCTCCCATCAAAATCCAAGACAAGCCCATCACTTGTAAAGATGCACTTTTTAAACATGATTTTTTCCCATTCAGCCTGTGCAGGTCAAGGATTGCATTAAGACCGCTCCATTGAAAGCTCTGAAATGTTCTGTACATGGAAAATTGAACTTTGTCTTTTTTTTTTTTTTTTTGGTAAAGATTGCACTAGTTTTAAGGCAGAAACTGCTGAATAGAGAAGTTCAAAAGCTTAGGAAATCTAGTGGTCCCTTATGGCTTGCAGTAATGAGTAAAATAAAATGCTCTTTCTGATTTCCTTCCCCCTGTAATTGAAATAGATGTTGTCCTGGAGTTGCAAAACTGTTACCCAATTATCACCCAACTGGGCTGATTTACATCACCTGCTCAGCCTTGGTTTGATGTGAAATGCTCGGGAGGGCCAATGTAAACATATTTATAGCCCGGTAGGATATGCTGAGCTCTTAATGTAAGGACAATAACATTATATATGTAGACATGTATGTGCATATCTATATAAAAAGTTATAGCTAAGCAAACTTTCATATTTGAGTGCACAAAGCTGCTGGCTGTGCCACAGCATGACTACCTGCTGCGAAAGACCTGGTTTACTCTAGTTCTTGGCTTGGATTTTAATTGCAACGTAGATGTGATCCTCTCTTACTGGCGCATCCAAGCTTCCCTTCTGTTGGTTTACCTGGCGTCTGAGCACCAGGGCACTGTGTGAAAGACCAATCGGGTAAACATGAGCTAGCCCCAGTCTCATTAGGGTGACTTCTCACATTGGCTTGGCTGGGTGAGGCTGGGGAGGACAGGCAGCCACTGATGGGCTGACCTTCAGAGCATCTCTATCTCCCCACAACCTCCTGACAAATGAGTTGGCTTTGCAGAGCCATGCAGTATTTCACAGGTAAATGACAAACTGTCTACGTGGCTCTAGATGGGACATGAGGGAGGTTGCCACTATCACATGTGGCGGCATGGGCACAATTCCTGCCATGTTTGAAGCATCCCGTGCCAAATCCCACAGGCCCGAGCACCAGGCTCCCCATACCCTGTTTCAATGTCACCATGGGAAAAAACATAGAGCTGAGAGTGTGCGATAAGAATGCTGTCACATAACAGACATTTCAGGAAGTCTCTGTAATTTCTTTAATTATTCAGACAACAGAGCACAAAGATAATAGCTTCAAGTACATTCTTATACATTATTTTAACAGTAATAGATATGTATTTAGTCATAAACTATTCTGTAGCCACCACTATGTGTACATTTTATACAAACTATTGCCATACTCGGACCCTGAAAATGGACGGTGACATCTCCTAGACGTTTTGCACAATGTTATGACAGTACATCCTTCATACGAGAGCTGTAGCTATAGGTTGGATCGGTCCATCTAACGAAGCACTTCTAATGCCTACCACGGAGGGGTGATGTGGACGTGAGGTGCCGAAGGAAGAGATGTAATAAATATACTGTGAGAGGGAGGCACACAGTCATTCGAAATACCTGTGATGGCGAACACGACACAGCATTTCTTTGCTTGGTGAAACAGGTTGATCCTAATATAAAACAGCATCTTTGCTTCTCTCACATCACAAAGCTCTGGGCTCGTCTTGGCCTTTCAGTGAAGATTAAACGCGGCAATGTCTGATATGGTCCTTACTGGGGCACGTATCCTACCCTGACACAAGCATGGGATCTGGTCTAATGGGTCTTTTTCATCTCAATTACAATTTAGATTGAAGTCCCCAAGCCAACGGCTTTATGTTTGATCAGTGACATCCCTAAACATCTCCACCACCTGACCTCTGGAGAAGCTAGGCTCCAACACAATTGGGTTTTGAGTGTAAAGGCTTTACAAAATGCCAGTCACCATTCAGAGACAGGAGTAAGAGAGCTCAGATGCCCAGACATTGCAGTACGAAGGCCAGACTCTTCCAGTAGAGACTCATTTGTTCCACGGTCACATTTTTACACGCCCCAAACCAGCCACATTTGTAGCCCCCGACGCACCAACAGCCGCTAAAGACATGGAGGCGGCAGAGTCCGATCCAGGGTGGACAGCAGGTCCCCGGCACCCACCAGACAGTCCACAGTCCCCTGTGATGCCCCGCACCGTGTGGGCTTTAGGGTGGCTTGGTTCCTATCCTGGTGTTCCACACAGGCGTTGTGGCATGCCGGCGGTCGCACCGAAGTCTCACCACCCCGGCCATGTCCAAACTTCAGAGGGTGGAAGTGGCCCTGGATTAGAAGCGGCTGGGAATGAGACACCACATCCATCTGTTAGGGCTTGACACAGGGGTGGTCGTGCCCGGGGATCAGCCATCAGCTCCCGGCACTGCTCTGGAAGCTCCCAGGCTTTCAGTGTGGAAAAGCATGGTCTACACTCTCTGGAGGTGGCACCAGGCAGGGACATCCCAGGAGGCCACCCGGAGCTGCCATCCATCCCGGCGGAGGAGGTGGCTGCATCTCTGGAGCAAAAGGCTGCCCAACAGATGAACGTCCTAGACCAGCAAGTAATGGAAACTGAAGAAAAGGTGAGAAGACATTCAAGGAAAGCTCCCTTCCGGCACGGTCCTGTCACAGACGCGCACACACACGCACACACAATGTTTTGCAAAATTTTTAAAGGGATCATGGAAACCCTCCGGGGAGGAGCACGCGGGGCAGCAGAACCTCACTCATCGGCACCCGGCGAGGACGAGCCGCTCGGCAGGGCCTGGGGCTGGGACCAGGCGGGGGGTGCAGCACCGGCCCCGCACTCGGCTCCTGAAACATCTCCAGCACGTTCAACCATCGATGGCTCAGGACAGACTCTGATGCGTTACAGCTAAGGAATGTCTCTCAGAACAAATGAACAAATTTTTATCCCTTTTATTTCTTTGTTTTGGAAAGGGTGTTTTGTTCTTTTCTTGGTAGCCCCGAGCCTCTCACTGTTACTCAAGCAAGATGGCCAGAGAAATCTGGTGGCCATATCCTTCTTTCCAGCATCAGCCACATGAATCCCAGTTAATTCAACAAAGTCGGTGTCTCTCCCACAGATTTCCATCTGGGCACACAAATTAAAGCCAATTAAAATCACAGTGCCACCACAAGACGAAGGCAGCTGCCTGCCTTCAGATTAACATGCTTCAAAGGGCAAACGTGATTTAATGCCCTCAGAAATCAATTTTCAGAGTCGCCTGTGGTCTCCAGACCAGTCCGGGAGGTGGACACGGAGCCGGGGCTGGAGCTGGAAGAGGGGAGCCTCGCTTGAGCACGGCCGGGGAGCCGGGGCTCCGGCGGAGGGAAACCACCTCTCCCGGTCGCTCATGCGAATAAGTGAGGTTCTACTGTTAGTACAAGAGATTCCAGGTTACACGCAGATGTGATGGATTTGTTTCCTTAATTAAAGTACCAAAATTAAAAGTCATAAGCAACACATCTAAATAAAATAATGGGCACTCCTTTAGGCATCATGTTTCCTAAACCAATAAGCAAAAAGGAAAAAAAAATGGGATGCACCAGGAACTCTTAGTTATTATATACTAACCAGACTGTGCATGGCACATTTTATTTCTATAAAACTATTAAAACTATTACAAAATATTCAAAAATACATTTTAGTAAATTTACAGCAGTTATTTCTCAATTTATTAATGCAAAACATCCTTTTCTCCCCTCTGTACAAACTACCGTTTCCATCATCACAGAATTGCCGCCATGTGCGCTTTTTAAAAAATATTTTCTAATAAATTTTTTTTTGAAGTTAAAAATAACAAAGTTTCTTACGGTTCTTGCAAATAAAAAGTTTGTGTAACAGTCTTGACTTCCATGAACGTGGCCAAATGGTGTTTTTACAAAGCAAAACATGGAAAACAATACAGGAAATGACATTACATTTGAAACTATTTAAATTAAAATAATATATTCTCATATTTTACACTATTTCAAAAAACGAAATGTGATTCAGTTAAGTATTGATCTCTCAAAAAAATCTAATTTACAATTCTGTGTATAAAAATATAATTTACGGACCCCCATGAAGTTTGTCTTTTTTTGTGTGTTTGTTTGCTTGTTTTTTAGACTTGCTGAAATGAAGGAGCAATGTAATGGAGAGATGGGAAAGTACAGAATTTTGCTTTCTGAAAGTCAGGACACACGTGACATGTAGAAAAATAGACTCTGCGCAGTTTTGCTCGGCCTCACAAAATAATTTTTTCCCCTGTGAGTACAGTTCACATGATAATAAATTATCAAAGAAACTATTTAAGGCTCTTGAAGGTCCGGTTCATTTCATTTAAAACATCTATTCAAAATACCAAAGAAATAAATATCCAGGAGAGGAGGAAAAAAAACACAACACAACAACAAACAAAACAACAAAACAAAAGAACAAATAAAAATATATATATATTTATAAACTAAACAGAACAGAACTTCCCGGGGTCTTTGTTTCCCTTAAAGTCTACTTTGGACTGTCCTACTTAATTATTATTATTTTATTATTATTATTTTTAAGTCTTAATCCGTACTCTCTTTTAAAAATATGTATTTTTTTTTCCTTTTTTTTTCTTTTAGGTTTTTCTTTTCTCTTTTTTTTTTTTTTTTTTTTTTTCCTTTTTTCCTCCTTTCTCTCTCTCTCTCTCTCTCTCTCTCTCTCTCTCTCTCTCTCTGTGTCTCTGTCTCTCCCTCGGAGGCTGGCAGGTGGCCGGGGCAGCACGGGATGCTCTCAGCTGGATGGCACCACCATGCCCAGTGGGTGCAGAGAGTCACTATCCAGCACCCAGGTGCCGATGCGGTAGAGGAGGCGAGAGTACCAGTGGATGCCAGGGGTGGCGGGGGCACCCGCTGGGACCCCCTCACCGGAGGGGCAGAGGGCAGCCAGCATCCCCTGGAGCAGGCGGAAGGGAGCGAACGCCCAGTGCGCCCAGCTGTGCTCCTCGATGACGGCATAGCAGGAGGCCAGCACCCGGTTGATGAGGATGGTGCCCTGGGCGGTGAGCGGGGCGTATGCCCCCGAAGCCTCCTCCCGCAGCGAGACGCTGTGCACGGCCGCCGGCAGGAGCTGCCGCCCGCCCTCGCCCAACACGTAGACCCGTTGGCCCGGCCGTACGCGGCTGGCAAAGAGCGCCTGGCTGCTGGGGGTCCCCGCCTGCGACTGGTTGTGTTGGGGGGCCACGAAGAGGAGGTGGGCGGCCGTCAGCAACAGCCGGGCCCGGGGCTGCCGCGTCTCGATGACGTAGAAGAGCTTGTGGGAACCGTCTTCCCGGTCGAGGAAGGCGAGGAAGTCGCTGTAGAGCAGCCGGCCCTCCGCGTCGGCCACCAGCACCCGGTCCCCGGGGCTCAGGTCCTTCACCAGCTTGGTGCCGCCTTGCTCCAGGTGCACCGTGGCCGAGCCGGGGAAGCAACCCCCCGATTTGGCCGCCACCGAGTTTTCTGTGCAAGGAGAGAGGCACAGCGGGGTTAGAGGGGGCACCCACAAGGCCACGACATGGGGGCACAAGAGGACACGCTGCTTCTCCAGCCACCCCAAGCTGCCCGAGAGGCACGGGTGGAGGATGCAGCCTCACTCCCCTCTGAAATTCCTCCATCCTCATCTATGAATGTGCCCTGTTTGCACTCAGCCGGTCAAGTGAGAATCCCTTTCCTGCCAGATTTGAGATTTGAGCCGGTGCATCTCCCTCTGGGTTAGGAGTTACAAGAGTGGTTTGTCTCATTAAGGCAATGGGCCAAAATATTTCATCTGAGAAAGCTGTTCCAGAACAAATCTCTTCTGGAAGAGCTTCCCACTTGGCTACTGTTTGCTCTGCACCGACACCTGATGCCAGATAACTTGCAGGCTTTCAGAGCCGAGCAGTTTTGCTGGGATAAGGTTTCTCTTCTAGGCCAGTGTCCGTGCTCACAATGCTCGAGGTCTCCATGCTCTTATTCAAGGAGCCCACCTAGACCAGCAGACAGCAGAGAGCAGGAGGAGGCTTTGCCCCAAGGAGCATGTGAATTTGTCTATTGCCCCACTGGAAAGCAACTGCCCGGACCTCCTGAGCCCCACTCCATCACCCCGTGTGTGACCCCACACTGCCCCTGGCCCTCGTTGCTCTCCTGCTCAGCATGGCAGCTGCTGGGGCACATGCCACCCGCCGTAACACCCCTTCTTGGCATCCCCAGCACTCCAGTCCACTCCTCTTTCCAAAAAATAACCATCTCCCTCATCTCTTCCACCCCACTGGAAGGAGGATGCTGTTCCCTGTCCCAGGGCGTGTGGTCCTTGGGCAGCCCCATGCCTGTGCCAGACCCAAGCACATCCCTCCTTCACCTCCTCCAGCTCTTGGAGTTAATCAGAGATTAGATACTAAATGCTGTTGCCAGCTGCTGTTTTCCAGTACTAGCCAGGGGAACAATCACAGGTTTAAAGAAATCAGAAACAGCGTTGAGACTTTAAGTGTCTCTTGCAAATCCTTTTCTGGAAGCTCAGCCACGTGTGGGGTGGTGGGAGAGGACCTCTGCCCTGTTCCAGGTTGGTCTCTGACTTGACCAAAGGACTCCGCAATGTTCCTAAAGGCTCTGATTTTCTATATATTGGGTAGTAGCCTACGGTATGTCACGGTAGCAAATGTCTTTGCTACTGCTGTTGACATTCTTCATCCCTCCCTTGCCTTCCCCTGGTTTCTCCCAGTTACTCCCTATGCCAGTTTAGAGCCCTGGTGATTTATCTCCTAAAGGCAGTCAGATTTTGCTTCTGTGGCTGGTACTGAAGCTCTTATGATTTAAATAAATCCTTGGAGTGTCTCCTAATGACTTTCTCAGGAAGGACAGGAAGGGTGAAAATTAGACCATTATTGATTTGCTAATGACTTTATCACTTCTCCTTCAGAAATGAAGCAGTGAGATCTCCAAGGCCTCTTCAGGGAGGACATGGCAACAAACAAGCTATGTGCTTTATGTGGAGCCCTCCGCTAGCAAACTACACCTTCCTACAAGCCGGCGGTAAAAGTCTGGCTAGAGCTTTGTTTGCATATTCAGGGACTTGATGAATAGATCTAGTAGTGTAGCAGCTCTACAAACATGCCAGTGAATTGGCAGAGGTGTGAAAATCTGCTTCTTTGAGCAGTGCTTGTTTGGGTTCTCTAATTAAAATCCAATAAAGGATCAGCATTGTCATTCTGATTCATGTAATAAATGCAGACACTCTTGGAAGAGAGGACACTTCCATTTTTTTCCCAGCTTCTTCCCCCCCTTTTCTCCCCCTCCCTATTTGTTCAGGTGCAGAAACCCTATGTGCCAATTCACACACATACTCTCCAAAAAACCCAGGACCTTCCAAGCACTATTTGCACAGCAGAGCCACTTTTCCAAGGCACTCAAGATCTGTATTTGAATTTTAAATGTAGAAGCTTGCTCTAAATACTTGCTGTAGCGCATTATCAATGTCCCTTTTACCACCCCTGCCTCTCCCTCCTCTGTCCTGGTGACAATAATTTAGGCCTTGGGGGAACTCTTCTTTGCATTCCAGTCTCTGGGATCATACTTTTTGCAAACAGAGATCTAGATAAAGAATCTTACTGCCTGGCATTATGGGGTTTAATCTTCTCATAAGATGCTCTGTCATGAAACGAGGTTTGGACAGTTTGAAATCAGGCTGAGCGGGTGGAATTCAAGCCTGCTCCCTTGCAGCCCGCGTGGTACAGTCACACGACCCTGCCTGACACCCTCTAAATATTGCCCCCAAGTCCGTGTGCGCCGAATCTCAATGAGCAGCTCGGGGTTACTCCCCTCCTATGAAATACCCCGGGGGGGGTGGATTAGGGGGTGCGCTTGGGCTAAGGTCATCGCACGCCACAATCAGACACCTTGCGCTATAAAGCCCATCTTTGCTTTTGAAAAGGATGTTTCATATCACCGCGCGGCCGACAGCTTTGCAGGGCCTCCTTTTGGCTAGAAAGGACCAGAGAGCTGAACAAAAGTGGTAGCAGGCTCTCAGGACAAAGCCCACAGGGGCTGGGAGAGGTGCTACCTCGGCTCAGCCCCTGGGGAGCCTCGGGCTGGCGGGTGGGGCGGGGGATGAGCCCCTCTTGCAGGCAGGCATGGCAAGGCCAGGCTGGTCTCCTGGCCACGGGGCTGCTGGTTTGGAAGCAAACGGCTATATTTAAAGAAAGCCCATTATTTTCTTTTGCAACCGAGTGTTTCTTGACACTTCCAGCAGGCTTCTGGGCTAGAGGATGCTATTAAAGAAAAAAAAAAAAATACCAAAACAGAGTACTTTAGCTGCCACGCTGCTGGGTTGGGAGGGGTGGGGGTGGGGGGTGGGGGAAGGGGGCTGGCACTTGTTTCCCCCCAAAAATGTCAAGTGTGAAGAAAATGAACTCGGCAAGTCGGGAATTTCTTGCGAGCTGTTCCCAGGTTGAGTCAGCGTGTGGCGTTGTAAGCACAGGGAAGGAAAAAAAAATGATATGTATGTGTATTCCTATCTGGGAATTTCCTAGCGGCTACCGCTGAAGAAGGCAGGGGACCACGTTACTTATTTATTTTCCTGGCCGGCTCCCACTCGGAGATTAGAGATCGTGAGTAAGGCGTGCAGCCAGTGGAGACGGCCACTAGTGTTTGTGTTGAACATGCTCCTTGGATGGGGAAAGCAGCAAATCCCACGGGGGGAGGAGAAGGGTGTGTGGCTGCGGCGCAGTGCTCGTGGGAAGGCTGGGCAAGCAAACCACCCAAATAAAAATGCTGTCAAAAAGTGCTGCAGCTGGCTGGGGTTTTTTGGTGGTGGTTTACTTCTTTTTTTCTTTCTTTCTTTTTTTCTTTTCCCCCCCCTTCTCCTCCCCCTCTCCCTGCGCCGGTGGGATCACTAATTGGCGGGAGGGAAGTAGGCTGCGCCCTCGGGGGCTCCGCTCCGCACCCCCGGAGGAGCCCCGACGGGGCGGGCAGGGCTGACGGGCACCCTGCGGGGACGGGGCGGAGGGAGCCCGGGCGGCACTGGGGTGGGCGGAGAAAGCTCGGGGGGGGGGGGCTGAGCCGTGCCTCGAGGGTGTCCCCCCCCCGCACCTCGAGTGTCGCTGGGCAGGCTGCCTGCCTTACCTGCTTTGACGGAGCAGTGGATGTGCGCCTTGGACTCGTAGTAGACCCAGTCGAAGCCGGCCTCGACGGCCAGGCGGGCCAGCATGCCGTACTTGCTGCGGTCCCGGTCCGAGGTGGTGATGTCCACGGCGCGGCCCTCGTAGTGCAGGGACTCCTCGGAGTGGTGGCCGTCCTCGTCCCAGCCCTCGGTCACCCGCAGCTTCACGCCGGGCCACTGGTTCATCACCGAGATCGCCAGGGCGTTCAGCTTGTCCTTGCAGCGCTGCGGGGATAGGGGCACACGGGGAAGGGCGCGTTGCGGGGGATGCTGCAGCCAGGGGCAGACCCCCCACATTTCCCCCTTTCCCCATCTATCCCCCCAGGGCCCCATCCTGCCCTCCCCCCATAGCCAAATCGGCAGCGCCCCCCCCCCCCCCACTCCCAAAAAACACCCTGCACCGCAGGATGGGCAGAGCCAGGGCTGAGCATCTTCTCCCCCGCTGCCAGGGAGGAACGGGGAGGTAGTTGAAGAGGAGGAGGAGGGGAGTGAAACTTGGGGACACGGGAGGAAAAGGGAGTGAAACACCACGAAGACCCACCGGGGACGGAGCCGTCCCCTCCCCTGGCACCTGCCACAGGGACAGGGGGACCCCCCCGCCCCAGCACCGGGGTGTGAGTGTGTCGGTTCAAAGCCACCTGCAAGGAGCAAATTCCTGCCGGTAAGTGCCCTGTCCCCTTCCCGAGAGCAAAGTTTCTGTCGAGAACAAACACTCGCCATATATCTCGGAGTCACGGATTCCCCCCCGGAATGTCTCTCCGGGTCTTTTCAGCTTAATTCTGTGTTGAAAGGGGTCTCAATACATGTTAACAGCCTTTATGTGCTGGAGGGAGGGGTGCGGGTTTTTTTCTCTCCCTTCGCCCATCACTCATTAGAGCCCTCAAAGCAGCATGGACTGGGAGCATTCACTCCGCTTCAAACATACATCTGCGCTCGCCTACAAAGCCGAGCAAATCCATACAATAATATAGCTCTTAGTGGGAAGATGAAAAGCAAGGGAGGGCCAAGGAGGGAAGTTAAGCAAAGCAGGGATGCTATGCAATCTAGGAGATCCTTTGTGTGGAGTGAAACGTTTCCAACTCCGTGGAGAAGCACTGCAGGGTTTTCCATCGCCCCTCCGGAGCCACCAGCCTTCCCCGGGGCTGAACTGGGCCCTGCAGCACCGGGGGCCTCTGGAACCAAGCAAAGGAAGGGGGGTGGGATGGGGGGAGGCTGGGAAAGGGGGGCTACAGCAGTGGAGGGGGGTGAGCTCTAGATGAAACCCTGAAAGTCAAGGCAGAGATTCCCATCTTAGACAAGTGTGAATAGATACACCGGCGGAAGGGGAAGAGGACTCACAGCCCCCCAGAAATAGGAAAATAGGAAATAAGCACCAAAAGCTTGAAAAGCACATTACTAAATGTGCAGAGCCAGAAACACACACGTTGCCAACTTTTCCCCCCCCTTTTGAGAGGAAAATAACTCGTCGATATACATGATGTGGCTCACAATGCAAATATCGATGTGGATTAAAGCTGCTGTGGGATGCAGTAAACTGCTCTTCCCTCACTTTTGCTGGCCTGCCTGGGATGCTTGGCCTTCTGCAGGATCATTCTCCCCAGTGTGCTCCCAGCACACCCAGTAACAGACCGGCCTCATTCACAGCTCCCAGAAAGGCAAAGCCCCTCCATTATCCCGACGACTGCTCTTAGGGACGTGACAAGGTTGCTCAAGAAAGTTCCCGTGTGTCTATGTACAGCCATAAAAAAGCAATTCCAGCAATACACAGGTCCTCGAGAGATATAAAACTTTGGACTCTCTGGCCTACTGTTTTATGGGAAGAGCCGGGTGTTTGGGTTTCGGCACCGTTCCCGGCAGCAAAACGCAGCAGCACAAGGAAGTTGAGTCTGATTTCCCCCCCCTCCCCGCCTCTCTCCCTCACACACCTGAGAGGATGGATACCTTCCTCCACTGATTTACAGGGCGAAGGGGACGAAGGATCAAACGTCTCAGCTACTGATAAAGCGGCCGCCCTGCCCGCCCCGGCGCTGTCTTGCCCCGCCGCTGCCCACGGGAGGCAGCGGTCGCGGGGGGCCAGGGGGGCGGGCAGCGCGGGGGGGTCCCGCCGCTCCGGCCCTGCCGGCACCAGCTCCCGGCGTCAGGCGAAATAAAGAAGAAGAAACGACCTCCTAAAGGACTTTCCTCCCTTTTATACTGCCTGAGCTGGATTGTCAGAGTCAAAAGCCGTGAAGCCCAGACTATTTATTAATTCATTGGGTCGTGTGCCACAAATCAAGCCCAATTCTGTTCAGCCACCGTGAAGCTCAGCAGGGCTGCCTCCACTAACGCTTTGTGTGGAGGCAAAGTTGTTCAACAAGCCCTCTCCTGCCAGCTCCTAATCTCTTCACAAATGAATTGCTTGAAGGAAACACTTAACAGGTACCTGTCAGTGTAAACAACCTGGTGGGCTTCCTAAATGCCAAGTTGATCTCTAAATTCCTCACACCACGCACCGGTTGTGTGCCTGCATTTCACGAGATTGCTACTTTATTTCATACAAATTCCAGCTTTATCATACTGACCTGGCCTCCTTATCTCTCCCCCGAATCCAGCCAATGGCTGGGGTGGGGGGGGAGGGAGGGGAGGAAGGGGAGAGCCTTCAGCAAACTGCTGTTGTCACCTGCAAAGTTGAGAACCTGACTTACCTACCTCTGTTTGCGTTTTTATGCCCCCCCCCCCCCGCCCCGCTGCGCCGCTTCTGGAGTTAATATTAACTAGCGGCTAATGCATTCGGCAACTCTGCTGCAAGTTTAACGATTCTATTCAGGGAAGATGTCTCCATGCTTGAGGGGCTCGCGAAGCAGACGTTTAGGGGCTGGGGTTTAAGGAGAGTTTGCTGGCCGAGGGAAGGAGGGAAGGAGGGAAGAGTAAGGCAGGGCGGCCCGCGGCAGGACGGCACCTCGGGGCGCTGCAGCCGCGGCCGTGGCCGAGCCGGGGTGGGCAAGGGCAGCCCCTTCCCCGCTCCCTGCCCTGCCGGGGCCCGGCTCGCTGCCCCCCCCTCCTCCCCTCTTTGCCGCCGGGTACCCGACGTGGCGGCCTCGCCGTCCCCGCCGCCCCCCCAGCCCACCTCCCCGCTTTGTGTCCAAGGCACGGGAATAAGCACTGAAGGAGGAGGGGGAGGGAAAAAAGAAAAAAAAAAAATTGTTTTCGTTTCGTTCGTCTGAGGGAAGTTGACAGAAGGTCAGGAGTTCAGATGCTGCCAGCTAATGCAGCGACCGCGGCCAGCCGCGGAGCCGGCGCGGCGTGCCCCGGGAGAGCCCGCACGCCGCCCCGTTCTGGCCCGCAGCCGCGCAGCCCCGCAGCCCCGCAGCCGCGCAGCCCCGCAGCCGCGCAGCCCCGCAACCGCGCAGCCCCGCAGCCGCGCAGCCCCGCAGCCCCGCAGCCGCGCAGCCCCGCAGCCCCGCAGCCCCGCAGCCGCGCAGCCCCGCAGCCCCGCAGCCCCTCAGCCCCTCAGCCCCGCAGCCGCGCAGCCCCGCAGCCGCGCAGCCGCGCAGCCCCGCAGCCCCGCAGCCGCGCAGCCCCGCAGCCGCGCAGCCCCGCAACCGCGCAGCCCCGCAGCCCCGCAGCCGCGCAGCCCCGCAGCCGCGCAGCCCGCCTCTCCGCACCGGCTGCCGCCCCCCCCCCCCCCCCGTGCCCCGCCGCCGCGCACACCCACCGGCGCAGCCGCGCAGGGAAGGGAAGCGCCGTGCCCCGCCGGGAGCCCGACTCCCGCGGAGCCGCCGCCGCCGCCGGGGCGCGGAGGGAAGGGTGAAACCCGAGCCGGCGCGATCGATACGCGAGGGGAGTTAAGTGGAGCTGAAAATGTGAGGGATGCGACTGGCTCGCACACGCCTCGCACCGGAGGCGGCGGAGGACCGCGGGTGCGCAGAGGGGCGCGGACCGCGCTGCGCCCAAGCGGGGGGACCGACCGACCGACCGACCGACCGACCGACCGACCGCCGCTCCGCGCCGCTCCGCAGCCCTGCGCGGGGCGGCGGCGGGCGGGCGGGCGGGCAGAGGCGCGGCGCCGCGCTCGGAGGTACGGTGCGATTTAAGGTGGTCGGGAGGAGATGGTGGCGGCCGCCGGCCCCTCGCCCCGGGAGACCCGGCAAACGTGCGGAAAATCAGGCCGAGGAACGGGGAGAGTTTGGGAAATTCCACCCCCCACCCCCCCTTCCCCGCGTCCGCTCCCCGCCTAGTCCTTCCAGGCTAGTCCTGTTCTAGCGCTGAAGGTGGGGCTTAAATGTATTAATATTAAAAAAGCGCTGTTGACCTATATTTGGAGGAAACCCATTTCCAGTGTCTAGATTGCATGTAGTTTCAGAAACTCCGGGATTGGCAGAGCAATTGACTTCACCGAGCTTTCTGTTGAGCATGAATAATAATTATGAGGTGACTCTCGGAGAGGTTCTTTTCTTTCTTTCTTTTTTTTTTTTTTTTTTTTTTTTTTTTCATAAAATGGTTCCGCAATCTGATTCCACCCGAGATCCAATATTTACCCAGTTGTAAACCTTGTGCCATCAGATTTTTTAAAACAGAAGGTGATGCAATGCCGATAAGTTGCAAGTCCCTCCCCTATGGAAGTACCAGAGCATTGGTGGCGAGCATCCTTAAAGAAATATCAATATATTTACGCTCTGATGGGCACAATTGCAAATGATGGTATTGCAATACGAGCTATATAATACGGAATCAGGAGAGGAATGGTCGATCCGGCTTCAGCTGCCTTTTGTGAGTGCACGACTGCATGCCTACTAAATTTAGAATATGCTCGCGAGGGAAATAAATAAATAATAATAATGCAGGCTAAAATGAAATGAGGGGGGGAGAAAAAAAAAAAAAAAACAAATGAAATAAAATATATATTAAAAAATCAAGTCAGCAGGCGTAGCAACCGAGGACTGCGTTTGTAATAATGAGTGAGTGGCCTGGCGGTCACTATACACTTGGGGTCCTCTGAGCTGTATGCAATTCGTTTGATCAAAGTGCATCCTTGGGGACAAATGCAAACAGCAATTTCTAACCAAGTTACAGGGAACGCCATGGCACGGTAATGACTGTAAGTATCACACAGATTCCCCCACCAAATATCTAAACAGCTCCAGCTCCAGCCCCGGCTAACTTGTCTGGATAGATGGTATTTACATTCAATGGGGGAAACTAGCCGAGTTTGGAGGGGCGGGGGGAAGAGGGGGAGAGGGAAAGGGGGGGGCTTTCAAAAATACTAAGACAGATGCGTCCTTTAGGATTGCTCAGAGAGGTTAACAAACACAAATACAGGTATCTCTGTGGCTCTACCTGAGTCATCAGTCTGTCAGCTCCCGTGTTCTCTTCATCCTTAAAAATAATGTCAGGGTTGTAATTTGGGGTTAGTTCTTTAAATCTCTCGGAGTTTCTTGTGATCTTCCCTTCATATCTTCCACTGGCCCCTAGGGTCTTCTCTGCCACATTGGGAATAAACTGCTTATAGGCTAAAGGGGTCAGCTTTTTGGGGTGTCTCCTTTTTCCAATGCCCCTGCCTGGTCCACAAGTCAGCCCAGAGGAGACTAAAAGAGCGCAGATGAAGCCCACCAAGAGAATTCTTGTCAACAGCAGCATTTCGTCCATTGAATCCAATTACTTCAAAGCTCTCTGTGCCTATCCCTGGCTGTCTCTCTAGAGCTCTCTCTCCTCCTATGTCCTTGTCTGCTTTCTGAATCGTATACTATCCACCGATCCCTAGCAAGACAGGTGCTGGAATGGCAGGCTTTAGGTCGCTGATAACGGAACACATCGGAGTTTGGTCGGGAGACAGCAATCGAGAGACAAAAAAGGGTCTGATTTTAATGGTAGCAAAGCAAGACGCTTGTGAGAGGAGTCTGCCTTTAGTTCTATATTATAGCTGCCAGGGCCGAGAGCTGATTGGCCAAGGCGAGACAAGCTTGTCTTCTGATGTTTTAACCCTCAAAAAGGCAACAAATTCTTGAAAGATTTTTTTTTTTCCTTTTACCTGAAGGGCTTGGAGCTGAGAGGGGTGGAGATCGCGCTTTCTTGGGATAACATCAATTACACGCTGGGGTTTTTTTTTGTTTTCTTTTTTTTTTTTTTTTCAAAAACTTTCTTGGCAGAATGGTACATTTGTCAGCAAGAGGAACAGATGCCTCTGTGAAAGAGAAAAAAAAATAAGATTAGCAGGCTGCCTCAGTGCAAGTCAAGTTTCTTAGGGCAGTTGCGGTTAAATAAAATGCCGAATTATCGGGGAGCCGTGCAAATAGAAACGTATTGGGGAAATATTAACGCCCGGGGTGGTGGTGGTGGGGGAATAATGCCATTTAAGAGCACACCCACCTGAGTGGCTTTGTAACAGGTTTCTTCCTCCTGAAAAGGGAGATTGATCTCCCTCCTAAGGACATACATTTTAAAACACACTCGCCTTTTAGCTGATAAATTACTATTTTAAAAGCAGAAACAAGTAAGTCTGATGCGAGGCGGCAGTTCTGTGAAGTTAGCGTGGCTGACTTGAGTGCCACACAACTGCAATGTGGAGAGATCTAAATGGCACTGTTTGTTTTTTTTTTATTTATTTTTTTTTTTTTTATGATATAATCAGAAATATCATCCAGTTTAAAATAATGTTGTGTCTTCAGAAGTGCATGAAAAGTCAACTGATTAAAAATAGATGGTCTCCTGAGCACGCTGGGGCTATATTCTTTGTTTCTTTGGTCGAAGTCGGAGTGTTTTAGACACTTACACCTCCTTGCGGGGTGTCATTAAGTTTTTAAGAAAAGCGTAGTGTTGAAAGCATCCGCAAACACAATTAACAGAGATCGATCCAAGCAAAGTGAATGGAAAGGGGATAAGTTTAATGTTAAATTAATTGTTATCTCATGCAGCGTGGCAAGTGATGTCTTTATCCCGATCTCCAAAAGCTACTAATCAGACAAAGGTGTTGAGAGACGAGCAAAATTGCAGAGATGGGGCTGATAGAGCAGGTTAGACAGAAAAGCAGGGTCCCATATGAACAAACACTTCTCTGCCTGTAAAGAGCTCGTTTACTTTTGCTCATAAGAAAATACAAATTGTCCTAGGATCTAGAAACTTTCAGGAGTTTTTTAGGAGTTCTTAAAAATGGCAGAACGACATACTGAAGTTAATTCAAAGTTCACCCTCTCAGAAAAAAAAAAAAATCAAAAAACAAAACAAAACAAAAAAACCCCAAACCCAAAACAAAACAAACAAACAAAAACCAACCAACCAAACCCAAACAAACAAAAAAAATATCAACTTTATTTAAGTTTTCTTTTTTTAAAAAAAAGGTCTTTGGGGCGAGCAATTATATGGGAGTTTTCCGGTCTGTGACATCGAGCTGAGTCGTAATCAACTTAAACCATGTGAAAATGGACTTTAAAATTAGGTTTTAAGTGGCAAAAGAGTTGTAAACCCGTAAACTGTAACAAGCGGGACAACGCGGACTTTTCAAGGGACAAAGTGGTATTTTTATGTAAACTTTAGAAAATAGCCGAAAGAAGTGATCCAAAGTGCTCACACCGACTCTAACTGGTGCTTTTCCCTCTTTTTCAGCCTATACTTTTCTTCTGCTATTTATGTTCTTTGTATAGTTTCAGTGAATCACTGATTTATCTTTTCAAGCTTTAAATTTAGGACTTTTGACTTGGGAATGAGTAAAAAGTTAGAAAGTTAGCAGCTTGGCTTCTAGGTTTTTATCAACCACCTTAGTTGCAGAAACAAGTTGTATAACAGCTAAATACCTGCTTCATGCTATTAAAAAACAAACTTAAGTTTTATCTCCCCGTCTGTGTGCATGTGAGAAGACAGATACAAGGAATATATAATTTATACAAAAGAGGGTATGTTCTTTTGATGTGGTTGCTTAAACAGCATGACTTGATATAACAGTTGATTAAACAGTGCCAAGGAATAAAAGCTAATCTTAATGGTGTGGGATACTGCAAATCTTTTATCACCCCTCTTACCTTGTCCCCCTCCCAAGGAAAGATGATCGATATCCCAGGTGCTAGACGAGTGGACATCGCAATGAAGAAGTATAGAGAATAAGGATAAACTCCCTCATTATCAGATTGCCATATGTACAAAGCAGTCACCCAAAGATTAACAGGAAAGGAAAGGCAAAGAAGGAATTAATTAAATGCAAGTAATAAATGTGCGGGGAAGGGGGGGGGGGGGGCAAAGGGAGAAATCAAGAAAAGTTGTAACTGTGGGAAGCTTGAAATCACCCTCCTATCAAATTAGATGTGAAAGAAAGCAGAGCTGGGGGGTGCGGGGAGGGTCTGCTCAGCTTCAGCGCAGGCTGGAGCTGGCCCCGGCCCCGCCGGGAGCCGGGCAGGGGGCAGCCGGGGGGGGGGGGGGGGCGTGGGGGAGCCGGGCTCCCGCCCGCCCGCCCCGCCGCTCCCCGGGCCTCCGGGATGCGCCCCGCCTCTCCTACCCACGTTAAGTTTTTCTTTTCCTTTTTTTTTCTTGATTTTTTTTTTTTTTTTTCTTTAAATGCCACAGCTGCTGGGAAAAAATACCCTCCCCAACCGCCCCCGTCCCCTCCGTGCCCCCGCCCCCAGACTCACACCCCCAGGCTCCCAGCGGGAAAAGGCACCGGAGCCCGTTTCCTCCCGACCCATGTCCCGTGTCCCTGGCACCACCAGCCGCAGGCACCCACCAGCCGGAGCCCAGAGCTGCCGAAGGAGCATCAGTGCCCGACCCACCCCCGTCCCTGCCCGCACACACATTTTAACAACAGCAACAGCCACCGGTTGGGCACTGATCCCTTCTTCAGAGGGATTCATCCCTTGGTCGTGGATTATAAAATTCAGGGTCGCATCCCGCTGTCCCCCAAATCTGCAGGCCGCTCTTCTGCTCCCTGGGGAGGGAGGCTAGGTCTGTCCCGGTCTTCTAGGAGGGGAGTGAGATGCTCTGCACCCCTCTGTCCATGCCACCACAAACCAAAGCCACCGCTGCCCCTGTGGGGAGTGGCCCCCAGGGTCCCTTGGGGTTGCCCAGGGTGAGGGTGCTGCGGAAGGCTCCAGAGTACAGACGCACTTGCTCCATCACCCCTGCCCACATGGCCAGGTCCCTCTTGGAGCTGTCACCAGGCTCCACGTTGGGCCCCAAAGCCCCGGTGGGATGGTGGGGAGTCCCTTGGATCATCTGGAGCCCTGGTCCTCCTGGGTGCAGTAAGCACCACAGTCCTAGAAGCATCTACCACGGACACCATGGAGTCCTATTTTTCTTGCTCTTGTGCAAGCACCCATCACAGTACCATGGCCCAGCTTTCCTCGTTGATGTATGGGCTCTTCCAGTGGCTCTGTGGCACCTCCAAAGCTTCCCCCACCCTGCCGGGCCATGTATGGGGCCGTAGGGCCACACTGGCCTTGGCCATCTTCACGGGGCCTGGGCTGAGGACGGGTGGCAATGGGTGAACCCAGGCCCACACCAAACTCTTTGAGAATCTCAGTTATTATCTCTCTCTCTATATATATATATTTTTTTTTTTTTCTTAATTTTGAATTCTGGACTTATTTCCAGATGTTTGCTCTGCATCAAGCCAGGGAAGGGTTCAGACTGAACAAGTGAGGTTCCTTGCTGGCCATTTTAAGCTCCCTGAGTTTTCTTGTGCTGATATATTTTGGTTGATGAATCCCAAAATACATGATGTGTCCCTCAGAAAACTGGAGAGGCAAATGTTTATGTAGCCCTTAACAGGGTTTTAATTACTTATCACCCTTAATAGCCATCATTTGTGGTCATGCTTAATATATGATTTTTTAATAAACTATCAATTTTTAGAGTGTTAAAGCTTCATTCTCATAGCCTCTTTGCACCTGTGGTGTTTCCCAAGAAATTTGTGACCAAAGCAATCATTGACAGAGAAGTAAATCATGAATACCATCAGTGAAAACAGAGATTATGCTAGAGTAAAACTGGTATAAATGGAAGGAGACACAGGCAGGCTCATCTGAAGCTTTGTTTGTTTCTTTTATATACCCCGCCCTCCTTCATGGCACTGTTAAACTATTTTATTTAAAAGAATTGTTACACATCCCTCATTGCCTATTCTGGTGGTATTGCACTGTTCATCTTGAAAATCAATTTAGAAATTTCAGTTCAGATTTACTGGCTACTTTACAGTGACAAGTAGAACAAGTCTTGTTCATTGGAATTTCCTTCTGAAAAACCCCAAACCCTGGCACCAACAAGAAAAATTAAGCTAATAGTTTTATACCCATTTTGGTTTGACAGCAAAGTTCAGGGAGTCATGCAGCTGAAGCCTGGTATCTGCTACGATATGCCCTTAGTCTGTCAGTCTATAAGCATTTCTGCTACAGGAAAAAAATATTCTGTGCATATGGAGAAGCAGGAAATGGTTGCTTTCCAAAATAACTGTGTCTACATGCATTGATTTTGCAGTTTTCATATCCATCTGCTTGTGAATTAATGCTAATCATTGTCTTGAATATGGTCAATAGAGACTTTCATCATACACGCAAAAAATAACACAGGCAGCATGATTCAGAAGACATTCCTAGCTATGTTTTGTGTGTATATTTGCTGTTAACCCAAACTTCAAAGCAGAGTTTCCCACAGGTTTCCTTGTATCCTCAGCAGGACAATACATAGTGTCTGATTATAGATTTATAGAGAAAGCCCTAGATTTCTCCTTTAGGTCTCTTCGCTTCTCCTTGAATAACCCAACATTTTCGCATATCAAAAGCCCCAGTTAGGAATGATTATCAGTTTTTCTTTTTTTCCCCTTTCTGGATTGTGATCTGCATCCTTTTTCAGCCACTTCCTTCTGGTCCTGAGTGGGGGAAATCCGAGCCGAGGTGT